CTTTTTTTTTTTTAAAGCCACAGATAAAAATAAACTCAAGATGGTCTGTTTCTGCCGAAGCTGGTTTATCCCCCTCCCCCAAAACTCATGTTGAAAATTTAATGGCCCTTGTGGGGGTGTTGAGAGTTGTGGCCTTTAAGAATGATTAGGTCATTAAGAGAAATGAGTGCCTCTCTCACACGACTGGGTTACTCTCATGTGACTGGAGTAGTTATCATAAGAGCAGGTTCCTTTGTGTGGGGGGTGTAGTGGGGATTGAACTCAGGGTCACTGAGTTGAACTCAGTGGAACACTGAGCCACATCCGCAGCCCTATTTTGTATTTTATTTAGAGACAGGTCTCACTGAGTTGCTTAGAGCTTTGCCATTGCTGAGGCTGGCTTTGAACTTGCGATCCTCCTGCCTCAGCCTCCGAAGCTGCTGGGATGACAGGCGTGCAACACTGTGCTTTGCTGAGAGTAGGTTCTTATCACGTGAAGCTGCCCCTCATGTTCCGCCTCCTGTACATAGGTCCACTTACTTTTCCGTTTTCTGCCTTTAGTTGAAATAGCGTAAGGCCCTCTCCAGCTCTACTCGCTTAGGCTTTCCAGCCTCCAGAAAAGGGAGTCAAAATAAACTTCTTTCCCTTTAAATTATCCAGTCTAAGGGATTTTGTTATTGCAACATAAACTGGACTAAGACATCTTCTTTTTTTTGAATATTTATTTTTTAGTTATAGGTAGACACAATATCTTTATTTCATTTTTATGTGGTGCTGAGGTTTGAACCCAGTACCTTTTGTGTACTGGGCAAGCACTCTACCATTGAGCCATAATCCCAGCCCCCTAAGACATCTTCTAAACAGACTTGTAGTTAACTAACATCAGGACCATGGGAGGAGGAGGAGAGGACCTGTCAGACTGGCCACTCAGCCTGCCAATTCCACCAGCCCAGGCTTTGAAGCCAGTTTAGAGACTAGGTATTGGGAGACTCCACAGCCCAATGCCCCCCAGATAACTTTGGAGGAAAAATTCAAGTTGACAAATTATATGAAAGTTACTCAGAAGATACCAGGTCCATGGAGCTGCATCTTAAAGAACAGATGCCACTGTCCCAAGCAGGTGCCCCAAGACAGGGGTTGCCAGATTTTGCAAATAAAAGTACATAATGGCTCATTACATTAGAATATCATATACACAACAAATATTTTTTACTATGTCCCAAATATTGCATGGGACATACTTAAACACTAAAAAATTATTAGTTGTTTATCATTCTCATCTAACTGGGCATCCCACTCAGGAATGACAAGGGCAGTGCTGAAAAGGACACAGTTACTGAGGTCTCAAACTGGTGGCCTCAGGGCCATGAGGCCCAATCATGTGTGTTGCCCAGTTGTTAGTTTATAAAATTGAATTCAGCTGCCAACATTTTAGCGAGTAGTAGCTGGTAGTAGCTGCCCTGCTATGAAAACATAATAGAACAAAGGGAAACCCGGAACCGTGGAACTTGATTACTGATTTGTTCGTCGGTTGCAAGATGAGCCTGGAAGTTGTGCGGTCTCAGGCCTGGGGAACGGGCTCCAACGCTGCAGTCCACCCTTCAAGTGCTGGCTGCAGGTTCTGACAAGCTTTCCCATCAGCAAGGCCCTAGCCAGGGCTACTTTCCCCTTTCCTGGCTGGGGATGGAAGCTTCTGGTCACATGTTGGAGAAATGCGTGCCCGCAGTGCCCCCTGCAGACGGAGGCTGAAGTTGCAGGTTCTGGGGAAGATCTGGCTCCATCCTCCCTGGTAATTGTATAGCCACAATTAGGAGTGAAGCAAGCAAAATCCAGGAGAAATTAAAAGTAGAAATAAACTGGAAATAGCAAGCACTTGAGAAGTCCCTTTCCAGGCAGAGCTATGAGAGCTCTGTTCCCCAGAGGTGGTATCCTTGTCCTACCCCCAAAGAATTGAAAACAAGGACTGAAATAGATACTTGTATGACAATGATCATTTTAATAGCCCAAAGGTGGACACAACTGCCCATTCATCCATAGATGAATAGGTAACTAACTCTGGCGCAGACATGGGCACAGCGTTATTCAGCCACTCAAAACTCTGATATGTGCTACCCAGGGAGGAACCCTGAAAACAGAATTCAATGAATAAGCCAGTGAGCCAATTTCCAGATGAAGAAATGAGGCCCAGAGAGATGTGAATGGCTTCTCAAGGTCACATGGCTGCAAAGTGGCAGAGCTATGACCCAAATACAACAAAGCTACTTCCAAGGTGTGACTTCAAGTCAGTCACTCGACTTCCCTGAGCTTCAGTTTTCCAATCTATAAAACTCAATAATGAGCAGGGTTGGGCGGAGATAATACATGCAGCATGGGCCCATGGCAAGCACTTACAGGACACACTTATTGTTCTTTTTCTACCTCTCCACTATCAAACACCTCCCATCTAACTTTGGCAAAAAGATGTGTTTATTTACAAGATATGAATTGTGTCCCTACCACAAGCCAGGCCCGAGGCTAAGCACTTTACAAAAATGATTTTCTTTAATCATTTTTTAATATTTTTTAGTTGTAGGTGGACACAATACCTTTATTTTATTTTTATGAGGTGCTGAGGATTGAATCCAGTGCCTCACACATGATAGATGGTGCTCTACCTCTGAGCCACAACCCCAATCCCTACAGATGTGATTTTTATTGGCCTGAAACCTTTCTGAAGGAGGCATTGTTAAGAACCCCACTTCACAGCTGAGGAAACTGAGGCTTATACAGGTGCAAGAATTTGCCCCAGTTACCTCAGTTAAGAAGATAAAGAAGAGGATCATCCTAGAAGCATCAGGTTTTGGAAGAGACTGAAGCTGAGGGACAAGTTGCCCAGGATGAGCCCTGGAGGACTGCCCCCGCCCCCAGGGCTTGGGAAAGCGATGACAGCAAAGCCAAGAGACTAGGGTGGTGGGCCAGGGGAGCTCTCTAGGGAGCTTTTCTGCCCCTGGCACTTCTGACCTCTGTAGTGTCTCCTTCACAGGGAAGTCAAAAGCATATGACCCTTGAAGGATCAGAAATGGGCTCCTTTCCTGTGTCTGCTGGACTGCAATGAAGCTAAAGGCTACCAACAGAGCCAGACTGACAGAGGGCTGGCTCTGCCCCTTATCAGCTGGGTGATCTCAGACAAGTCATGGCATTATTATTACCATTATTATTATATTTTATTTTTTTGTGGTGCTAGGGATTGTGCATGGATTGTGCATGGGAGGCAAGCACTCTACCAACTGAACTATATCTCCAGTCCCTTTAGTGTTAAGAAAAAAAGAGACAGAAGCAAGGTGCAGGGGCAAAGTAAAAAGGGCTCATCTGAGCTGCCAGCTTTATTCATATCCATAGGTCACATTAGGTCATTAGCACATACTGCTCATTGTATAAAGTGACTGTTATGTGGCCAGGCTTAGGCTCAGTGACACACTGGTGTTGTCTAAGAGAGCGCCTTTATTCCCAGAGGCTGAGTGTCTGAGATTAAGGTGCAGGCTGACAAGACTCTAGCAGAGAGCCTCCTTGCGAAGGACATTACCATAGCAGCTAGGCATTGAGCATTTATTAGTCATCTTACTAGTTCCAGGGAGAAACTATAGAATACTCCAAATGTGGATAACAGGGCACCTGTTACCCTCCAGAAGTTTGCTCCCCAGAGGAGCGCTGCCCTGTACATATCCACAGCCAGAATCCTTGCACCTTACAGTGCATTATTTTCTATTTGGTTTCTCCCTCTACTGGCGAAGTCATCTCTGGCACAGGCAAGCTTTTCTTCTGGTTGTTTTCCACTATTATATCTCCAGTAACTAGAATAAACCCTGGCATGGGGTAGGTACTTGAGAAATATTAATGGACTGATTGTGGGAATGCAGTTGGACCTTTATCCAGAGTTCCACACCTGTGGACTCAACCACAGCTCAAAAATATTCTTTTCAAAAACACATTTGTAGCTGTGCCTTATAGTGCACGCTTGTAATCCCAGCGGCTCAGGAGGCTGCGACAGGATTGAGTTCAATGCCAGTCTCAGCACTGGTGAGGTGCTAAGCAACTCAGTGAGACCTGACTTACAAAATAGGGCTGCAGATGCGGCTCAGTGGTCAAGTGTCCCCGAGTTCAATCCCCAGTATTAAAAAAAATAAAATCGTGCTAAACATGTACAGACTATTTCCCCCCTGCATCGTGGGGTATCAAACCAAAGCTAGCCCAGCACACCCATTGAGCTACAGTCCCATTCACTTTTTGTCATTATGTCCTAACAATACCGTACTTCTATAGCATTGAATTTATTAGGTATTATCTAGAAATGTTTTGACTATTGGAGGACATGCATAGATTCTAAGCAAATGCATTGTTTTATATGCCATGATATGCTCATTTAAATCAAGACCCACTGCAAACTGAGGAGACAGCTTGCTTGAGCTGCCAGGCACTCCTACATCTTTCCCTTTGCCATGTGGGACTTCAGAGGGATCTGTGCTGCAGATGAGACCTGGCTTTCATTAGCTTCTGAGGAATGTGCATGTACATCTAAGGCAACTGACAGTGATTGGATTTTCTATAGACCGTCTCCCACTCCCTGAAATAGACCTGGATTCCTGATCCATAGCATTTATTTCAAGCTATGGAATAGTTATATGGCAATACCCCATAGAGCCTGTCAGATGGTAAGATACTCAGTAAATATTGAGCAATGTAAGTGAGCAATGTAAAGAGACCTAGCAAGTCAGAGCTGCCTATTAGGCCACATAAACCAAAGGAAATATACAGATACCTGTTTGCTACTTGTTATCGATGTTGAATGTTTACCTCCCATGACAAAATACAAGTTTTAATTTCTTTTATTCTTTCTGCAGGTAGAAATGCTACAAAGTCAGAAATTTAATTCTTGAATTTTTCAAGAAAGGGGGGAGTACGGCATCAACTGGAGCTAGCCCTCCAGCTAAGTACACAAACACCTTGTGGGATTGGTTCAGCTGGAAACACAGGACTCCTTTTCCTTTCAGTATTTGTACTCCAACTCCATGGCTGAGCAACTTCTAAAAGGAAAATATAAAGTACATTATAATCTGTTCCATTTTGGTCAGAAAAGTGCTTTCTATCTGGGAATATGGAAGCATGTGGTTCTCCACATGCTGGCTAACTCCCACTACGATAACCCATCTCTTCTACACTGCCAATATTTGTGCCCATGTATTATTCCCACACTGGTTACAATTGAAATACTTAATCTAAATCCACAAATAAGCCCTTCTGGGTAAAGGTAACACAGTCAAAAAATAAATCCAAATGAGAAACTTTTATTAAAAGTGGGGAATTAGCCAGGTATAGTGGTATACAGCTACCCAGGAGGCTGATGCAGGAGGGTCCAAGTTCAAGACCAGCCTGAGCAAGTTAGCAAGACTGACTAAAACTACAAACATAGGATGGGGAGTAGCTCTGTGGTCAAGCCTAGTGTACCAACCAAGTGTCAAAACCCAGGGTTCAATCCCTACTACTGCCCCCAAAAACAATTTTGTTGATTCTCAAGTGACAACCTAAATATAAATGCACTGTACAATTAATACATAGATGTGTCAATGTGTAATGGATAACAGACTATGTAACAGTATTCTCAGTTGTTAAGGATCATTGAGTTTTTCTGCATTGGAGATTGAACCCAAGAGTGCTTTACCAATAGGTTACATTCACAGCCCTTTTTTAATATTTATTCTTTAATATTTATTCTTTAGTTTTAGGTGGAAATATTTATTCTTTAGTTTTAGGTGGAATTGAACCCAGTGCCTCATACATGTTAGGCAAGCACGCTACCACTTGAGCCACATCCCTCCTTGAGAGGGTTTAAGTAGCTCAGGCTGGCCTTGTCTCAGTCTCCCAAGTAGCTTTAATTATAGGTGATCACATACTACCATGCCTGGCTGAGGATCCAATTGAATGCCACAAAAATAATCATGATCAAACAAATTCCAACTCATGTGAGACAAGTTCCTTGCTTTTTTAAAATTTAGTAGTTGGGCTGGGGATGTGGCTCAAGGGTAGCGTGCTCGCCTGGCATGCGTGCGGCCCAGGTTCAATCCTCAGCACCACATACCAAAGATGTTGTGTCTGCCAAAAACTAAAAAAAAAATATTAAAAAAAAATTTAGTAGTTGTACACAATACCTTTATTTTATTTATTTATTTTTATGTGGTGCTGAGGATGAAACCCAGGACCTTGCACGTGCTAGGTGAGCTCTCTACGGCTGAACCACAACCCCAGACAAGTTCCTTATTTTAAAAGATGCGGTATTTGCCAGGGAAAGGAAACTACAATGTCCAGCAACTTTAAGACCTTCTAGTACCAACAGCCCAACATCATCCCTCATAAGCACAACTTCAAACTCATTCCCCCCTCCCACTTTATACACAACTCAGTACTGGGTCATAAGTGGGGTGACAGCTGGAAAGCAGAAACCTCACCTGTTGCAGGATGGACTGAAGCAAAGACATCAGATTAGACTAATGTCAACATAATAGCACCCAGGACTCCTGTAGGAAGTGAACAAATAATCTGAACACTGGAAAAACACCAACCAACAGAGCAAGCAACAAATAAAAACAGAAGTTATTTTGTGTCGATGCATCAGATAAAACTGGCTTACAGGTTTAGTTAGATCAACAGGGTCGATCTGATGGGGAAAAAAGTTGTGTCATCAGCTGCACCGGCTCAATGAGTAAAAAAGCAGTTACTGTTCAGATGAGGAAGAAATGCCAGCATCACTTACCAATCCTTTCACACTCCTGGAATTTATCCTCGTTCATTCAAAGCCTGGTTTCTGGTAGCAAACCTAAGATAAAACACAGAAAGATTAAATCCCATCAGTTAGATGGGCATGGGATTAGGGGATGGTTGGTGCTCAAGCAGGCATATCAGACAGAAACTGGCTTAGAAAAGTTAGATCAACATTGTCGATCTGTCGGGGAAAAAAGTTCAGTCATCATATATGCCAGCAAGCAGCTCTTTGAATTTTTTTTGGTGGGAGGGAGTACCAGGGATTGAGCCCAAGGGCACTCAGTCATATCCCCAGCCCTTTTTTATTTTTAAAACAGGGTCTCACTAAGTTGCTAAGGCTTGCAAACCTCCTGCCTCAGCCTCCTGAGCCACTGGGATTACAGGCCTGTGGCGTGTTTTGCAGCTGCTCTTTGAGCTCTGAACAAGAGGAATATGGAACAAGATAAGTTGCTGCCACATCTCCTCTCACTCAATGAGCAGAAATCACACCTGAAATCCCAGCCACTTGAGAGGACAAGGCATTGATTGGAAGGACTGCTTGAGGCCAGAAGTTTGAGTTATTAGCCTAAGCAATATATAGCCAGACCCTGTGGGGATAAGCTCTGCAGTTAGAATCTAGGTCAAAGGAAATTCTTGTGGTTTTTCACAAATGGAAAAGCTCAAGAAAACTCTTTGGACATCTAAAACTGTTTCTTCCTAGGAACCCATCCAATATATAAATTGTTATAAGCACCTAAGAGTTTCAACAGAACTCTGGGAAAAGTAGCTCTGTGGCAGAGCACATGTTAAGCATGCTCAAGGCCCTGAGTTCCAACCAGCACCAACACAAGAAAACTAACTTCAATTAAATTTAATCCTAACCCCCAAAGTTCGTCTTAGATCCTAAGACAAACGTGCTTACCCCAAAGCTCCGAAGACAGAAAGTGGGGTTCCCGTGGAAGCCCAGAGGTGAGCCCGTCTTGCAACATCCATTCTGAATCCAATCGCGTTAACCTAAAACACAAAAGGGCGTCAGTCGCCATTTTCCATGTCCAGGAGAGAACATGGAGAGGAAGGGCCTCTTGAAGCTGGTGTGTCAGAATTAACTGGCAAGTGTTAAAAAAGATCAGCATTGTCGATCTGATGGGGAAAAAAGTGAAGTCATCATTTACACCAGCCAAGGGCTCCTTAGAGTCAAGCAGAAGGCGCGAGTTTTCCTAGCTAACTCATCTCCCCACGGCCCTAACGCCTCTGCGCTGGAGAAGACGAGGCCAAGCAGGTGAGGCGATGGCACTAACGGGACAAAAGAGGACCAAACTCGTGAAGGGAAAACAGTGGAGTCCCCACTCACCATAAAACAAACGTGGTTAACAGCGAAGGAAGACATGCCGAGAATCGCGAACAGAACAACTACAAACTACAAGCGCCTCCGAAGCAAAAGAACGAAAGCGGCTGGAGCCTCCCTTATATAACCAGCCGGACTGGCGCGCGTGCGCACTGGCAGGAGGCCCGCCCCTTCCGGCCCGCCGCGAGGGCCCCTGGGAAACATAGTCCCCGAGCCGCGCAGCCCCAAGCGCTCTAATGGTTGTCAAGGCCGCGCCTAGCCCCGCCCCCCGCCTCGTACACACTGGGCAGCCGGGCTCCTAGGCCTCGCCGCCATGTCGCGCTTTGCACGCACCGAGCGGCTCGCCCGGTCCCCGCTCCCTCGGGACCGCCTGAGGCCTGCGTCGGCCCCGGACGCAGTTAGCCCGGCCCCCGCAGTCCCCTCCCCGAGGCCGCGCCCGCCCGCGCCCGCCGGCCCCGCCGCCTGGGGGAGCTGAGGCGACGCCCGCCTTCTGCCCGCCCCGAGGGCGGGGGCGCTCGGCCCGGCCCCTCGCCTGCGCCCGCGGCCCCACCGCCTCCTCCGCCTCCTCCTCCTCCCCCTCGTCCACCTCCTCCTCCTCCGGGCCGCCCGCCTGGCTCCTTGCCCCGCCCCGGGTCTGCGGGAAAGGAAACCGAAAGTGCGCGGCGCCGGGCGGGGCCGCCGACCTGCTGGGCCCGAGCCCCACGCCCGCCGGCACTGCCGCCGGAGCCCGCAGCCGGTGAGTGCCCGCCGCGCCCGCACCTGCCGCCCCGCGCCGCCCCGCGCCGCCCGCCGGAGCCCGCGGCCCCTCCTCAGCGCCCGTCACCCCCCGGAGTCCTTTCCCCTCCTTGGTCCCGTCACTCCCCGGAGTCCTGTCCCCTTCTCGGTCCCGTCACCCCCAGGAGTCCCGTCCCCTCCTCGGTCCCGTCACCCCCCCCCCAGTCCCGTCCTCTCTGCTCAGCCCCCTGTCACCCGCAAGCCTTGTCATTCCCCAGACCCTGTCCCCTTCTCGGTCCCTGTCACTCCCCAGAGTTTCTGTCCCCTCCAGCCCCCGTCTCCTCAGCCCCGCTTCCCCCAGTCCCGTCCCCTCTTCAGTCCCGTCCCCCTCGGTCCTTTCTCCTCTGCTCACCCCTGTTTCCCCCAGTCCTGCCCCCCAGCTCTTCCCCCCCACCCTCTGCCTCCCCCAGTCTTGTCCCACCGGCTCAGCCCCTGTTCCCTCCAGTCCTGTCCCCGCTGCTCAGCCCGTGCCGCTCAGCGCCCCTCCGCAGTCCTTAGCAGCTCCACGCCCCCAGCTCCCCGGCGGTCTCCCCAGCGCCCTCAACACCTCCCTCACCTTCGCCCTCCCTCAGTGCCGGCTCCCACCACTGCCCCTGCCTCACCATGTCCATCCCCGTCCCTCACCCCTGTCACCTCTTTCACCCCTGTCTGTTACCAAGTGCCCTCAACACCCCGCACTCCCCATCCCTCCTGGGGTCTCCCAGCACTTCAGCAGGTGGCCCCGCACCCTGCCCTGCCGCCTCCTGAAGCCCGCCCCCCCCCCCCGCACCTCTGCAGCTGCCCCCGCTGAGCCTGGGAATGCGCCTTCCTGCCCAGGGCTGCCCCCAGCCCGCTGCCCCGTGACCCCACACCGTCTCCCTCCGAACTGGGCTCCCGTGCACTAGAGACTTATCCCCGGACTCTGGACACTTCCCTGCAGACCAGCCTTCACCTCCTTCTTCAGCCTCTTTCATTCCACCCTGGTAATTACCGTGCTCTCATTCTCATCCCTGTACCCGCTGGACCATCACCGATGTTCTTCTTCCTGCCCTCTTTGCCTTCATTCGCCCCCCCCCCAAAGAAAAAACATTTTGTCTGTTTATTCATGGCATTTCCTCTTCCTATGTGTGCCTCCCTTTCTTGCTGATGTTTCTTTTTTTCTTTATTTCCCCTTACTACTTTTATTTCCCCTAAATTTCTGGGTTTCTGTTTTAATATTTTTCAAGAAAAGAAGAAATTTTCCCCTTAAACAACAAACAAACTATTGAACCTCCACCATGAGAGCAGGGTTTGATAAGATTAGGGAAGAGACTGGCCAAAAGTATTGTAGAGCCGTGGTGCAGGGGAGATTCCTTTTTCTGATGAGAATAACAGTGCCCCTCATATAATGCTAGATCTATTCACAGTTTCCAACTATGAATATTTTAAAACTTTGGACAGTCTCAAAATTTTTTTTGCTGAGGTCTCTGAGTCACCTGCTTTTTCCCTAACCCTAGCCCACATGATATGCATGAGTTAAACTGAGATGTTCCCTTATAGAAGCTTCCTCGTACAGAACCAGTGTCAAAAATCATTTAGATAAAGGAAAGAGGAAAGAAAGAATTGCGGATTTCTAGTGGTTCTGAGGAAACAGGACTCATAGGTGCTAAGTTAATCAATAGCTTACTAGTTATTGAAAGGTAATTTCTTTCTCTTGATTTAGTACAGCAGAGGGTTTAATCACTTAGCTGTGTTCCAAAGAATAGGATAAAGGATAATTGCTCATTATTTTCAAACTCTAAAGGATTGAGAGGTATAGAGTACTGTATAATAATGCCAGATAGGGTGATAGTACATGGTTTTGGATTAACAAAAATGTACTCTTTTCTCCTGGCAACAATATTTGCTTTACAGGAGAGGAAAATGAAACCTAGCAACTGTTTAAGCAACTTAGCTAGAGGTATAAACTGAACAATAGTTTTGAATGTGAATTGACACTCCCTCATCCCCAAGGAAATGCAAGGAAGAATTTGATCCCTTGAAATCACCTAAATTATGAATTTAATGTTTTATTTTATAATTGGTTACTCACAAAGTTGAGCACTTTGTGCTCATGATTAAAATCTGTATTTAACTCTTAGTTAATCATTGAAAAGTAAAGGCAGAACTGGCTTGATTGTTATTAGATGCTGTTTCAGGGCACTGATAATTCTCAACCTGTGCAGTTCCAGATAACTGAAAGTAACGTGAGCGTGAATGAATTCAAGTGACTTAAACATGGAAGACAGAAGACCTCATCTGGAGGCCAGGCCCAGGAATCCCCATACCAACCACAGAGGTAAGCAAAGTTTCCTACCTAGTGAGAAGGAAATACTGAGCAATCAGAAGGAACCTGGGTTGCCTATCAATGAGCCCACCTGAGATTGCCTGCATCTTTCAAGTAAAGAATGACTTATTCCTTAACTATAGCATGAATGACTATGAAAAACAGATAAGTTTCTCCTTTCCATAAGAGATATGATAGATGGGTGTAGTTCAATTTACAAAAACAGTGATGGGATGTCAGAAATGGAAATAACTCTTGGTTTGGCACAATGCTATTAATAGAAACATAATTTTTTAATTTTCTAGTAGCATAATTGAAAAAAGCAAAAGGAAGCAGATTAAATTTACTTTTAAAATTCAATACTAATTTCTTTCATATGTGAAGTGTTATGAATAAGCATAAAACATTTCAAGTGATTATAATCTCCTTTCCCTGTAAAATTGTGTTTCAGAATTGAGCATATTCATTAGAACAAAGTAAGGTGATAAACATACATCTTAGATCTACATTTATTTTATTTATTTTTAAAAACTTTGTTTAGATATTGATGGATCATTATTTTATTTGGTTATTTATATGCAGTGCTGAGAATCAAACCCAGTGCCTCACACATGCTAGGAAAGCACTCTAACACTGAGGTACAACCCCAGCCCCTAAATTTATTTTAATTTGGAGATTCCTTTGGAACATTCAACTAATGAATTCCAATTTTATTTATTTTTTATTTTTATTATTTTTTTTTAAATATTTATTTATTTATTAGTTCTCGGCAGACACAACATCTTTGTTGGTATGTGGTGCTGAGGATCGAACCCGGGCCTCACGCATGCCAGGCGAGCGCGCTACCGCTTGAGCCGCATCCTCAGCCCCATGAATTCCAATTTTAAAATGTGTTTCTGTTAGTAGCCAGTGTAAAAGTTAATAAATAAAAACTTTTTAAAAGCATTTCTTGAAAATTGTTTTAAAAATTAACTTCACATTCAAATTCTAATACCCATATCAGAAAAGTACAATAGTTGCTTTATATCAAATTGTACATTGAGTTAGACTATATGAAAATTCCAGCGGGTTTTAATATTCTATAATTATCTCTTTGAGGAGGAATTTTTTTTTTAGCTGTTCATGGGCACAATATCTTTATTTTGTTTATTTTTATGTGGTGCTGAGGATCGAACCCAGTGCCTCACATATGCAAGGCAAGCGCTCTGTCACTGAGCCAATACCCCACCCCAAGAAATTTTAAAACAGGGATTAGAAATCAAATCTAATTGGCAACAAAATCAAGAAGACCTTTGTTAAGATAACAAATACTACAATGAATTTCTAGCATATACTATTTGCTTGCCTGTCTGCATCCATATAAAATAGTTTACTCAATTTTTTTCTTACAAAAAATATTTTTTTAATATTTTGGGTTTTGGGGGGTTTTTTACTTGTAATTGGACACAATACCTTTATTTATTTTATTTTTATGTGGTGCTGAGGCTCAAACCCGGCACACTACACACGCCAGGCAAGCACTGTACTGTTTTTGTTTTTTTTTTTTTTTTTTAAATGAGGAGCCCAACACCATGGCTCATGTCTATAATTCTAACAACTGGAAGCCAACCTTAGCCAACTAGAAAGATCCTCAGCAATTTATTTATTTTTTTTTAAGAGAGAGTGAGAGAGGAGAGAGAGAGAGAGAATTTTTAATATTTATTTTTTAGTTCTCAGCGGACACAACATCCTTGTTGGTATGTGGTGCTGAGGATTGAACCCGGGTTGCACGCATGCCAGGCGAGCGTGCTACCACTTGAGCCACATCCCCAGCCCAAGCACTGTACTGTTGAGCCAAAACCCCAGCCCCTTCTTCACAAAATGTAAGAGTAGAAATTTTTTTATTTTATTTAAAAGTTGTGAGTAATTAATAAGAAATTCTTCATATGTGGTTTATTTCCAGAGTAGATATGCTTTATTCAAAAAACTTTAATAGTATTTAATAAAAATTTAATGATCTTTCTTACTTATTGTATCCAAATACTGTCATTTAAAAAAAAATTCTTTGGGCTGGGGATGTGGCTCAAGCGGTAGCGCGCTCGCCTGGYATGCGTGCGDCCCGGGTTYGATCCTCAGCACCACATACCAACAAAGATGTTGTGTCCGCCGAGAACTAAAAAATAAATATTAAAAATTCTTTCTCTCTCTCTCTCTCTCTCTCTCTCTCTCTCTCCCTCCTCTCTCACTCTCTCTTTAAAAATAAATAAATAAATAAATAAATAAAAAATTTTTTTTAGTTGTAGTCGGACACAATACCTTTATATTTTATTTATT